GGTTTGGAGGGAATTGACCTTAATATTCTGGAGCTGTAGTTGCTGGGCTTTATAGTTCACCTGCAATCAAAGAGCATTCTGAACCCAACGAAGGATGGACTAAACATGGCTCACAGAACCCCATGATCAATTGAACATACTGGAGGATTTTTTTTTGGGGGGGGGGCAGGAATTGTTCTTGATTTCTGGGAGTTGTAGTTCACCCACATTCAGAGAAACCGTGAACCTAAACTACAATGGACTGGGAGCAAACTTGGCATAGAGAACCCCCATGACCAACTAAACATATCGGAGGGGTTCAGGAGAAATTGGCCTTGCATTTGGATAGTTGTAGTTCTCACACATTCCGATGCATTTTTGAATGGGTGCATTCATACAAAACAAAAGCAAAGACTTACTTTTTCTAATATATAGCATTATAAATTACCTAACCATACCTAAGCTAGTTTTTTTTTTAATAAACCCCAAAAGCAAGCCTTGATTTTGCCATTTTTTAAATAATCAGAGGCACAATTTCACGACATGCTTTTTGATAATGGCTCCTGAGCATCCATTTATGTTGGTATCCTGGGGATCCTGGAATCAAATCCCAGTGGATAGCAAGAGTCTGCTATATAAATATAACTATGAAATAAAAATACATTTAAAGATGGCAGTTGAGACTTTCTCAATGCAAAGTTATTCATACTGTTCTGTACCCTGAGGAGAGCGGACTCCAGGCTGCAACCCATCGCCCAACCACCGCTAAAACATTATTAACTGAAATTGCAGAAACACGACTATTTACATATCCAGGTCTTCCATCTGTTTGGTGGTAAATTATTCCCCGCAGTCTGTGCTCCCAGAAATGAGTTCCTCAGATATTATATACTACTCTTTGTTTTATTGGTGTTCTAAGTTCATTTATTTACAAGCTGCTCCTTTGTCAAGCACCTGTGAACTAAACAACTAAACTAAGCAACTGAACAACAGAATGGGAAAATAAAATTAGCAAGAACCTAACATCTCTGAAATAATTAACTCTAATGTGGTTTTACCAAAGCAAAGCTACTGGAGAGACCACAGGCAAAGGACATGTGAGCCATGGAATACATACAGCCCCAAATGCATCATCAGAGCTCTAAAACATGTTACAGTAAGTTGTAGCAGGACTGTGTGTGTGTGTGTGTTGAAGAAAAATCTTATGATGGTAATTATTATGAGCAGCTGGTAATGTAGGCCAACCAGCAATCTTGGACCACACTCAATAGGGTATACAGTTCTGGAGAGCTTTTGCTCTGAGGAGATCTATGCTCAAAGGCTCTGCTCTGAGAAGCAGGTTGGAGAGAAGCTGTTATGCTGCTCTAAAGGAGGCTATGGTGGAATAGCTGTTTGCTCAATATTTATGTTTTGCTTTCTCATTTGACTTAAAATAAAGATGCCTTATTTAGTGTTACTTACAAAGACTATGTAAGTTTCTTGCACCGTTTGTTTTTTGTATGCCTGTCCGAACGTATCTCTCCTTACAAACCCTCTAGAAATTTAAGATCTTCTGGGGAGGCCCTGCTCTCAGCCCTGTCATCTTCACAGGCTCAACTGGCGGGGACGAGGGATAGGGCCTTCTCAGCGGTGGCCTCTTGGTTGTGGAATGCCCTCCCCAGGGACATTAGATCAGCCCCCACCCTCTTAGCATTTCGCAAAGAAGTTAAAACCTGGCTATATGAGCAGGCCTTCCCAAACGCAGTGTAGCTGTTAAACTCTGATCTCGGAACGGCTGGACAACGTGACTGGATAATGACTGGTAATGAAATGCGGAGGACTTATGGTTATTATTATTATTATTATTATTATTATTATTATTATTATTTGGGGTGCTTCTACCCTGCCCTTCTCAACCCCCTAAGGGGGACTTAGGGCGGCTTACAAAAGGCACAATTCGATGCCCAACAATTCACAAAACACAATATACAATTTACAATATAACGATGACAGTTATAACTAATTAAAATAGTCAAATTAAAACAACAGCAGCAATAAAATCATCTTGTGGTCAACATTCGTTAATTCATAAATACATAATGCATCCAGCATTGTCATTGTCCTTTGTCCTTTCCTACTCTGGTCGTCATTGTCTTTTATCCATCTGCCAGCTTACCCAAAGGCCTGGTCCCATGTTTTATTGTGTTACTGATGTTAATTGTAACGAATTTTTACCTGTGTTAAATGTTTTTAATGTTTAAATTATTTTTGTACTATTGTGGGCATCAAATTGTGCCAATTTGTAAACCGCCATGAGTCGCCCTCGGGCTGAGAATGGCGGTATAGAAGCATAGTAAATAAATAAATAATAAATAAATAAACATGCAGCGTTGCAAGTTTGTGTTTCATCTTCTCTTAAGAGTAAAGATTTTTCTGTTGATTTCTACTCTTGTCTGTGTATCTTGTGCATGACTCTCCAGAATATCCAAAAGAGTTCTCAGCATCACACCTCCAAAAAGGCCTAGTGAAACATTACCCCAAGAATGCCAAAACCACCACATACGATGCCAAAACATGGTGGTTGGGCTTGTTTCATCCTTTATGAAGATTGAAGAGCTCCGTGGCTGAAAACTGGTTGACATCCAAGAGATGTCCCTTAACTTTAAGGTCATTTTGAAGGAGAACAAGATGGGGCAGATATCAGGAGAGCCAATTACCTTCAAGTTGAGTTCAACATATGTTGACTCTTTAAAGGCACGAATGGAGGGCAAAAGAGAGAAAAGTGCCAAGACGAAGGCATGCCAAACCAACCCCGAATGGGACCACCTTCCACCTGGAAACCAATGCACTCACTGCAGGAGAACATGCAGGTCAAGAATAGGGCTCCAGAGTCACCTACGTACCCAGCTCTTGGAAGACAATCCTACTCGGACAACGAGGGATCGCCTAAGTGAGTGAAGTAAGTGCTCAGTCCTTGCAGACTTGTAACAACCATGGCCTCAATGATTGAGTCCATCCACCTGGAATGTGGCCTTCATTTTTCCCAACTGCCTTCTATTTTACCAAACATTGCTGACTTTTATAATATTTATTTATTAATTTACAGTATTTATATTCCACTCCACTCACCCTGCAGGGGACTCAGGGCGGATCACAATGCACACATACATGGTAAACATTCATAGAATCATAGAATCATAGAGTTGGAAGAGACCTCATAGGCCATCCAGTCCAATCCCCTGCCAAGAAGCAGGAATATTGCATTCAAAGCACCCCTGACAGATGGCCATCCAGCCTCTGTTTAAAAGCTTCCAAAGAGGGAGCCTCCACCACACTCCATAGACACACAACATATATAGTCAGACACACTGAGGTTATTTAACTTTCCAGCTTCATGAAGGTATGTTTGAATTTCGGCCACTGGGGGAGCTGTCACTTCACCGTCCACTTGTGACATCGATGGAGTACTTCCTCATTCTTTTGTACACTGCTGGAGATTTTTATGCCGTTATAAATTAGTTAAATTAGCCTCCCTGCATAAGTGATACTTAAATTTCCTACTTGACAGATGCAACTCTCTTTCAGGCTGCAAAGGTTGACAACAAGCTAGACAAATAGTTGGAAGTTTACTCCAACCGGGCTGGCTTTGAACTCAAGACCTTTCAGTCAGTGGTGATTTCAATGCAGCTGACTCTCAACCAGCTGCACAACAACCCAGTCCTGTTGTGTCTTCTCATGATATGGTCAAACTACAACATGTTCAGTTTAGTCCCCTTGGTTTTTAGAGAAAGATCAAACCTGGTTTGTTCTAGAAAACATTTATTTGGGTATTTTTTAGCCGTCCAAGGCATGCACAGAACTCGTCTCCAGCATTACTTTCTATCACTTGTGTAATTAAATGTTGCTGGAATATACGAATTTGTTATATTATGTTCCTTTAGGCTGTCTCTGACCAATTATTACACTAAATTAATCTTATCACAGCAAGACCAGGGAATCTCTCCTTGTGGAGAGAAAAGGGGGATATAAATAAACAACAATGATAATAATAATATTCATTGTAAGCCACCTTCAGTTCTAATATCGAAAGAAAATTCAGATGAAATTAAGGAAATGTATACATTAACATACAATATTATTTCCATCTTTCATACACTGACAATACATTTGACACATTTATAGTCATTGTGGAAGGCTTTCATGGCCAGAATCACTAGGTTGTTGTGAGGTTCCCAGGCTGTATGGCAATGTTCCAGAAGCATTCTCTTCTGATGTTTCACCTACATCTATGACAGGCATTCTCAGAGGTTGTGAGGTCTGTTTCTTGTTTTTTTTTTTTTTTGTCGTGTCAGGAGCAACTTGAGAAACTGCAAGTCGCTTCTGGTGTGAGAGAATTGGCCGTCTGCAAGGACGTTGCCCAGGGGATGCCTGGATGATTTGATGTTTTTATCATCCTTGTGGGAAGCTTCTCTCATGTCCCCGTATGAAGAGCTGGAGCTGATGGAGGGAGCTCATCCGCCTTTCCCTGGATTCGAATCTGCGACCTGTCAGTCTTCAGTCCTGCCAGCACAGGGATTTAACCCACTGCGCCACTGGGGGCTCTGTGAGGTCCGTTGGAAACAAGGCAAGTAGGGTGTGTGTGTGTGTGTGTGTGTGTATAGAGAGAGAGAGGGAGAGAGAATATCCAGGGTGGGAAAAAGAACTCTTGACAAGAAACAGTCAGGGCCAGCTAATCACCTCCCAACAAAGGATTCCCCCAGGCAGCAAGAAGCCAGACTTTGAAACTGCTAGGTCATTAAATGCTAATTAAGGTGGCGAATTGAAACATTCACACCTACCTCAAACAGACAAGAGCTCTTTCTCCCACCTGGACACCATTCCACAGAAACATAAACCCCATTTTTGTAGTTTCCAACAGGCCTCACAACCTCTGAGGATGCCTGCCATAGATGCAAGCAAAACATCAGGAAAAAATGCTTCTGGAACATGGCCATACATACTCACAACAGCCCATTTATAGTCAATTTGTTTGAAATACTTACCATTGGCATTAATTCGGAAGATGCTGGCTGACGTATCCTGGAAAAGCTCCTGCAGTTCATTGGGGTCAATCTGTGTCGCTAAAAAGAAAGAAAGAGAGACTGTCAATATGTAGACCAAAGCATATCATCCACTCTGTTTCTAAGCAATGGGGCCAAAATTTGGGGCCAACTCAAACAAATTCCAATAAAGCAAAATAAAATGCATACAGGACACACAACAACATCAAGTAAAAATGCTTATGCAACAACATAATCAAACAATAATATAGTAACAATAACATAATAAGGCAGATTATAAAAAAACAATACAAGAATTTAGATGAGGGCGTAATGAAAATCACGTGTAGTTCATATTTTATCAGTCCACACACTGTCTTCCCAGAGAAAGAAAATATGCCACACAACATACATAAAGCACAAGTAGTTTACTCTTTGTAACGCAGAGCAACATATATACAATCATGTGAACAATTGCAGTGAATCACACAATGTCCTTTGAGAGAGGTTTAAATGGTCTTTCTGTGTCCATGTGGAAGATCTCCTTCCAGCAGTTCATGAAGCAAGAACTGTTTCTCTCTACAAGCACCTGCACAGCTCGAGCTTAGGAATATAACTGTTGCCAAAAGTCCCAGGCTCAGCTAGCTCCCTGGGCCTGGCCCAACCATAGAATCATAGAATCAAAGAGTTGGAAGAGACCTCATGGGCAATCCAGTCCAACCCCCTGCCAAGAAGCAGGAATATTGCATTCAAATCACCCCTGACAGATGGCCATCCAGCCTCTGTTTAAAGGCTTCCAAAGAAGGAGCCTCCACCACACTCCAGGGCAGAGAGTTCCACTGCTGAACGGCTCTCACAGTCAGGAAGTTCTTCCTCATGTTCAGATGGAATCTCCTCTCTTGTAGTTTGAAGCCATTGTTCCGCGTCCTAGTCTCCAAGGAAGCAGAAAACAAGCTTGCTCCCTCCTCCCTGTGGCTTCCTCTCACACATTTATACATGGCTATCATATCTCCTCTCAGCCTTCTCTTCTTCAGGCTAAACATGCCCAGCTCCTTAAGCCGCTCCTCATAGGGCTTGTTCTCCAGACCCTTGATCATTTTAGTCGCCCTCCTCTGGACACATTCCAGCTTGTCAATATCTCTCTTGAATTGTGGTGCCCAGAATTGGACACAATATTCCAGGTGTGGTCTAACCAAAGAGGAATAGAGGGGTAGCATTACTTCCCTAGATCTAGACACTATGCTCCTATTGATGCAGGCCAAAATCCCATTGGCTTTTTTGCCGCCACATCACATTGTTGGCTCATGTTTAACTTGTTGTCCACGAGGACTCCAAGATCTTTTTCACACGTACTGCTCTCGAGCCAGGCATCCCCCATTCTGTATCTTTGCATTTTGTTTTTCCTGCCAAAGTGGAGTATCTTGCATTTGTCACTGAACCAATCAGCTTCATGCTTTAAATTTTGAGTTAACACACCAACTGATTTCTTACATGCCCTAACCTATTCTTCTTCCAGCATCAGATCCAGCTCAATGCTCACCTTCTATCTTTGATGTCTTTTGAGGTTTCATCAACTTTTTATGCCCCATTCACACCCAAAGCATCCTGGAACAGTAATGCTTCCATCTGACATTTTATAGGATCCACACGGAATTTGTAGAACATCACCATTGTATTTTTCATACCTATCAGCTTCAGCTCAAGAAGGTGTTAAGACACAAATCAGGACCACCGCTGAAATATTGCAGGATCATGTTGGAGAATGAAAGAGTGTTCAGTTAGTTACTATGACCGCATCAACACATGGACTTCAGTCAAGTTTTTAAAAGGAAACACTATAACACCACTTCACCGTTTTATTCACAATAGCACTACATTGTGGGGTTTTGAAGTCTACAAAATATTGTATAAACAGTGAGACACTTTGATATACCTTGCTGACCGTATCAATATATACCGTGCTTTGCAGAATCACAAAACATAATATACTGGGAGGATATGCATATAGTGATAGAGCTACAAAATCCTTGGTATTCCACAGCTATGAAGACAATAAGCATGGATCAGCTCTAAAGTAACTGTTTCCAGAGCTGCTGCATTGTAGCGGAAATCCTGGAAGCAAAGCAAAATACCTTCAAGGGGGTGGGGGGGATTACTCAGGAATGGAACCATCAAATCTGAATTTAAATTAATTTTAGGAAGAACTTGACAGACTTCAGGAAAATCTAATAATGTTTTCAGCTGCTGGCTTAAGGAATCATGCTGGCTGCTTTGCTGTAAGGCAAAAAATCACTGTGTCAGAACTTTGTGGATTGTTTCATCTAACTCCATGCCCCAACATGGTGCCACTGAATCCAAGAGATGATAGAAATAAGCAATAGACTGTGTGTTCTATTGCAGGCAGAGAATTGTCCCCATCAACATCCTCATACACTCTGATCGTGTCTAGGAAATCCATACCTTGAGCTTAAAGAGATCATCATATAGAATTGGAAGAGACCACAAGGACCATCCAGTCCAACCACCTGCCATGGACCTGCCATGTGCACAGCCCAAGCTACTGATGATCAACATGAGAAGAAAACAGGAGAAGAAAATAGTATAAGGATTGTCCATATGCTGCTACAGTATTTCTAGACATAAATTACTCAAAATTGCAATGGTGTGTTTGTTTGAGTCTGTGAAAGCAGTCCTGGGTGGGCTGTTAGAGACCCACTAGTCCAGGTAGTCTGCAAAGATGACTGCAGACGTAGACTGCAGCCAGGAAATCAGAAGATGTTTCCTTCTTGGGAGGAAAGCAAGGACCAATCTTGATAATATAGTGAAGAGTAGAGACATCACACTGGCAATGAAAATCCACATAGTTAAAGCAATGATATTCCCCGTAGTCACCTAGGGATGTGAGAGCTGGACCATAAGGAAGGCTGAGCGAAGGAAGATAGATGCTCTTGAACTGTGGTGTTGGAAGAAAAATCTGAGAGTGCCTTGGACTGCAAAAAGATCCAACCAATCCATACTTCAGGAAATAAAGCCCAACTGCTCACTGGAGGGAAGGATATTAGAGGCAAAGATGAAGTCCTTTGGCCACATCGTGAGAAAGGAAAGCTTAGAGAAGACAATTATGCTTGGGAAAGTGGAAGGAAAAAGGAGGAGGGGCCAACCAAGGGAAAGGTGGATGGATGGTATCCTTGAAGTGACTGGTTTGACTCTGAAGGAGCTGGGGGTGGGGACGGCCGACAGGGAGCTCTGGCGTGGGATGGTCCATGAGATCACCAAGAGTCGGAAGTGACTGAATGAGTAAACAACAGTCCAGATATAGGCAAACCTTGACCCCGGGGCTGGATGCTGCCCCTTGGGCTCTTTTCTCAAGCCCTCCTCTTTCAAACCATCCTATTCTTCCTTCCTTCTCTCTTTCCTTCCTCCTTCCCTCCCTCTCTACATTCTTTTCTACTCTCCCTTCCTCCCATCATTCTTGCCCTCTTTTTCTTCCTTCCTTCTCTGTTTCCTTCCCCCTTTCCTCCTGAGGGATATTTACCTGGGAGAAGAGAAGGTAAAGAGGAAACACAAGAAGCACGTTTCAAGATTTAAAAGGGTGTCCCACTGAGAAGGAGGAGAGGGGGCTGACTTTCTGCTGCTGTATAGACCAGGGCACAAGGGACCAATGGGTTTCAATGGCTGGAAAAAAAGATTCAACTGAAAAGATTAGGAAGAACTTCCTGGAGAGTGGCATAAGCACCCTCAAAGTGCGGTAGAGTTTTCTTCTCTGGAGGCTATCGGGACTGGTTTGGTTGTGCCTTCTTGCATGGTGGCGGTTGGACTGGATGGTTCTTGCAGGTCTCTTCCAACTCTAGAATTCTAGGATTCTACACCAGGAGTAGGTAATATGAGGTCTCATAGATACACTTTTCCTCTCTCATCCAACATCTCATCCTGACCAAAGCCAACCCTTTTGGGATCCATACATTTCCTGTCTTTCCTTCACGTTCTGCCTCCGAAAGAGAAGAGGAAGGGGAGGAAAGGGCTGGGGGAGAATTGGGGAGAATCCCCTCCCTACCAGCCCACCCACCCGGTTCCAGTCCGCCATGTGGCCCCCAAATTAAAAAGTATGCCCGTGCCTGCATTAGCCATATGGGGTTGAACTCTTGAACAGGATGTTACTCCCTCTTCCCACATGGATATGGTTTCTTCATAACTGACACATCTGCAGTGAGGAGGAGAAGGGAGAACCTGCAACTGAGACGTGAATCTAGGTAGGCTTAGAATCATAGTCATGGAGTTGGAAGAGACCTCATGGGCCATCCTGTCCAACCCCCTGCCAAGAAACAGGAAAATTGCATTCAAAGCATCCCCAACAGATGGCCATCCAGCCTCTGTTTAAAAGCCTCCAAAGAAGGAGCCGCCACCACACTCCAGGGCAGAGAATTCCACTGCTGAACGGTTCTCGCAGTCAGGAAATTCTTCCTAATGTTCAGGTGAAATCTACTTTCTTGTACTTTGAAGCCATTGTTCCGCATCCTAGTCTCCAGGGCAGCAAAAAACAAGCTTCCTACCTCCTCCCTATGGCTTCCTCTCACATATTTATACATGGCCATCATGTCTCCTCTCAGTCTTCTCTTCCTCAGGATCAACATGCCCAGCTCTTTAAGCCACTCCTCATAGGGCTTGTTCTCAAGACCTTTGATCATTTGAGTTGCCCTTCTCTTGTCAACATCTCCCTTCAATTGTGGTGCCCAGAATTGGACACCGTATTCCAGATGTGCTTCTGCAAGAAACTTCCAAGCATGAGGATTTATAGGTGGCCACTAGCTTCCATATTTGAGATCCAATTAATCTCATTGAGGTTTTATCACAGGTTTCACAGATACAATCCTAGATGTGGAGTCTTTCTCTAAAATCAATTCAACACATCAGACAACCCCATGAAAGTTTGAATAAAACACCCTTATTTGCTGAAACGTCCAACTGGGGTTATTGAAATGAATATTGAAATGAAGATGTGATCTGTTACAACACAGTAGAATCAGGTTTACAATCTTTGGCACTCAATGCCCTCTTCCTCTCTCAGTCACAGCCTACAGTTC